GGAAAGGAGAAATTCTCATAACTATCTTTTTAATGAATTTTCTACTCCGAATATATTTGGTGTTCACTTTGGAGAGTAGCGTGCAAAAGTAAAATAGACGTAAAGTGGAAAATGTGGTGTTATTATTTTCAAAGCTTTGAGGATTTATATGATAATATGTAATATATAAACTTGCATATATGATTTATGTATCCCAATATTTATCATATCATACATATCTAATTTATATGTTTTAAAATATTTTATATATTCCACTTCACAGCTTTGAAATTGTTTCTCTCAAATCCAGAAACAGTATTGAAGTGTGCCCCTGCAACCTACTTAGCATGTTTAAGTATCCTGAACTTCTTTTGGGTAACTTGTGCCTTGGTCTTTGGAGCAGTTACACTAAATCTAAATAAGAGCCAGATGGCTAGAGCTCAGTTGTGTAAATGCCGTAGTTCGTGGCAGCTAGACAGGGACCTGATATATTAAAAAGTAAACCAAAGATTGTAAGGTATAATTTACCAGACAGAAATTTTATTTTGCTGGCCACATCAAAAGGAAGTTTCAAAAGGATTATTGAAGTGGAACAGCTATTGAGGAAAACTGAGCCACAGAGAGAAGATATTTTAATAAAAATGAAAACTGAGAATGATTGCCAAACTGAAGGATAAGGAAGGCAAGGACTTGATCGTATTGGTTTTTCTAGCCAACATCCTTTATCTTCCTCCTTCTTGGAATCTTTAGACACCTACTTTTTTGCTTTGTTTGGTTTAATATGTGTGTGTATTTTTATACTCCCAATAGTGGATAAGCTTTTGGAAGGGAAGTATTGAGTCATTCTTCACTTTTCTTTTTCCAGTTTTATTGAGGTATAATTGACGAATAACTTTGTATTAGTCCAAGATGCACGACACAATGGTTTGATATATGTAAATACTGCAAAATGATTATCACAGTAAGTTTAGTTAACATCAATCACCTTGTACAGTTATAAATTTTTTCTTCTGAAAAGAACTTTTATCTACTTTTATTCTACTTTCTTAGCAACTTTTAAATATACAATATAGTACTGTTAACTGTAGTCACTGTGCTTACATTACATCCCCAGGACTTACTTATCTTATAACTGGAAGTTTGTACCTTTTGGCCACCTGTGATCACCCCTTTCCCCCACCTCCCAGTCCTGCCTCTGGCAACCACCAGTCTATTCTCTGCATCTATGAATTCAGGTTTTTTAGAGTCTACATATAAGTGACATCATGCAGTATTTACCTTTTTCTTTGTGACTCATTTCACTTAACATAATGCCCTTAAGGGCCATCCCTGTTGTCACAAATGGCAGAATTTTCTTCTTTTTTATGGCTGAATAATAGTGCGTTGTGTATATAAATCACATTATCTTTATCTATTCATTCATTGATGGACACTTAGGTTGTTTCTATGTCTTGGTTATTATAAATACTTCAGTGAGTATGGGTGTGCAAATATCTTTTCTTTACCTATATAGTTCCATACAAATTTTAGGATTTTTTTTTCTATTTTTGTGAAAAAAGTGCCATTGGAATTTTGATAGCAATTGCATTGAACCTATAAATTGCTTCAGTAGTATGAACATTTTAAGAATATCCTTTCAGTCCATGAGCACCAAATATCTTTCCATTTATTTGTGTCGTCTTCTGTTTCTTTCATCTGTGTTTTTTAATTCTGAGTGTATAGGTTTTTCTTTTACCTCCTTGGTTAAATTTATTCCTTGGTATTTTATTCTTTTTAATGTGATTATAAATGAAATTTTTCCTTTAATTTCTTTTTATGACAATTCATTGTTAGTGAATAGAAACACAACTGATTTTTTATATTGATTTTGTATCCTGCAACTGTACTGATTAGGTTTATTAGTTCTGACAGTTTTTTTGGTGGGGGGACTCTTTATGGTTTTCTATATGTTGTATTTTGTTATCTGAAAGTAGAGATAGCTTTACTTCTTCCTTTCCAATTTGGATGTCTTTTTCTTCCTCGTCTAATTGCTCTGCCTAGGACGTCCGGTACCATGTTGAATAAAAGTGGTGAGAGTCAGCATTCTTGTCTTGTTCCTGATCTTAAAGGAAAAGCTTTTAGCTTTTCACTGTTGAGTATGATGCTAGCTGTGTGCTTGTCATATATAGATTTTATTATGTTGATATATGTGCTCTCTATACCCAGTTTGTCAAGAGCTTTTATCATGAAGGATGTTGAATTTTGCTAAATGCTTTTTCTGTATCTATTGAGGTGATCATATTATTTTTATATTTCATTTTGTTAATATATTACAGTATATTATATTTCCATACATTGAGCCATCCTCACATCCCTGGAATAACTCCTACTTGATCGTGATGCATGATCCTTTTAATGTATAATTGAATTCAGTTTGTTAGCATTCTGAGAGGACTCTCCCATTTGTTGGCCTATAATTTTCTTTTTCTGTAGTGTCCTTGTGTGGCTTTGGATAATGCTGGCCTGGTAAAATGAGTTTGAATATCGCTGTTCGCCTGTCTTTTGCAAGAGTCTGAGAAGGAACGGTATTAATTCTTCTTTAAGTGTTTGATGGAATTCACCAGTGAAGCCATCCAGTCCTGGACTTCTGTTCGTTGGGAATTTTATTACTGATTCAATCTCCTTACTAGTGGTTGGTTTTTTCAGAGCTTATATTTCTTCATGATTCAGTCTTGGTAGATTGTATTTTTCCAGGACTTCATCCATTTATTCTAGGTTATCCCAATTGTTGGCATATAATTTTTCATAGTAATCTCATGATCATTTTTATCTATGGTGTATCAGTTGTAATTTCTCTTCTTTCATGTCTAATTTGAATCCTCTCTCTTTTTCCCTTGGTGAGTAGTGTGTACTCCTTTCCATACAGATGTGAACAGTGAAACTGACCCCATCTCCAGCTTCAATCTAATGGCTTCTGATTGATCTAAGCCAGTAATGGTACTCACATCCCTCCTACCACAGATAGGTTTAGAAGTAGACATGTGAGCCAGTTCTGTCCAGTGAAATCTGTGGGGCAGTATGCTAAGAGACTTCTGGGAAAAATCATTTCTTTTTGAAAAAATTAAGGTAAAGGAATATTTAGTATGCTTTTTCTTAGAACTACTACATTGGGAAATTTTTAATTGATTTATGTTACAGTAAATATTTAGGTATCACAATGTAATTAATAATTCAGTGACTGATTAAAACTTTTAAAGGGGGAGAAGACATTGGTTTAATGATTTAAAAAACTGTCAGTAGAGAATATATTTAGAAACAACAGAAAATTCAGATATCAGGTTTTTTTGATTTTGCTTTTTTTTAACAAAGGCATCAGGAAGTTTGGAGATAGCTACTTAGTGATGTTTCAGATGCCCAGACTCTTCCCGATCTGCTCCTGCTTCGTCACCCCTAGCTTTCATTCCCGTGCTTGCTACTTGATGGCTGCAAGATGAGGGCTGTACCTCCAAGCAGGCAGAAGAGGAAAGGAAAGGCCAGTGGATGAAAGGGACATGCGGGTTGAGTCTGCCTGCTTTTATCAGGAGAACAAAATCTTTCCTGGAAGCCCTATTCTGAAATTTAGAATATTGTGTTTCATTGGCTGCTACTTATAATTCGTCTATTTAATCTATCTTCTCTTCTCAAATTTAGCTTCAACTATGTTGTCATTAACTTTTCTATGTTGTGCTTGTATTTTCTAAAGTTAATATGTTAGACTCACTAGATGAGACATTTAATTTTCTTTTTCCAAAATTAAGGCTTCAGAGCAAATACGTAAATTTGTGCTACGTTCATGCAAATTAATACTTTTCATTTGAACTAGACACTGTGGTAATTTTTAAATGAGTTTTTTGGTTCTTACGTAAAGTTTTTCTGTCTTCGAAAGAACAGAAGAGCATGTTGAACATTTGAACTGAACTCCATTTAAGAATTACAAATACGAACTACCTTTTTTCAGATTCCCTTTTGAGGAAGGAGACTCACAGTCCATTAAAAGAAAGAAGTTTAAATTTAATATCTGATACTGCATTCAGGATTTATCTGCACAAATTTAACTATTCTTAAATTGTATACTGAACTCTATTTCCTTACATACCTCCCTGCCCCCACCTCTGTCCTGTTTATTTTCAGTAATGTTATTTGTTCAGTAAGCTTATTTTCAGTAACTTACTGAAAATGTTTTATTTATTTTTATTTATTTAGTCTATTTTTAATTTTTAGTAAGTTTATTTTCAGTAATTTAGATAAATTATTGAGATAAAGATTAAAAACATGATTTAAGATGGAAAGAAAATGTGTTCTCAAATTAACTGCTGGAGGTGGAAATGCCTGCTGTAGACAAGGTGGAGTGTACTTTAGAAAGAGTACAGATGCAGGGTGGGCTGGAGCAGAGAGGACCTTCTCATAATGGAAGTGGGGTGGATGCAGACTTCAGTCTTTGCTGAGCGATGGGGAGTTAGGCCTTGATTCACAGTGTACCTCATTTTAGGATGCTGGATCCAGGATAGATATGGAAAAGTTGTGTCTAACGCTGCTAAGGTGAATGCTAGTTTAAGTCCGTCTCAGTAATTGAAAAAAATAAATGAGGTTTATATTGTTTTACCTACCATATTTTTAACCTATTATGGCTAGAGAGGCCACAGAGCATAAGGGAATACATGGAGTTTGTATGCTTTAGGGTTGTTTTGAAAGAAAGACCTAAATAAATAATCTATTTCACTAAAATTTATTGCTCTTCCATCTTTATAGTACATAACAGGATACCTGTTAGTATATGACCTTTATTTTTCCGAGCCTTATTGTGCTGGAGGAGAGGAATGGGAAACCAGATTGTTTTATCTCTGCATCTGAGCTAGGGAAGAGGAAAACTCATTAATAAATCTAGTAGTTACCTTGCGACAAAAGTTTTAATCCAGTTTTTTTAAGTTATTTTCAATTATTGTGGACTGTACTGCATGTTGAGGCTAATTGGAAACAGTGACCAGATTCTTAATTATTATCAGGAAACTGCATTCAGAGAATGAGAAGAACACCCCCACTGGATGAATTGCAGCCACCACCATATCAGGATGACAGTGGTTCTCCCCACCTCTCATGTACACCCTCAGAAATTGGGGACAGTAAATGTGAATTTTCCCACTGCAGCAACAGTCCAAGATGCTCATATAACAAGTGCCCGAGTGAAGGAAGCACAGGTCATGAAATAGGAAGTTTTCATAATAAAGGATATGAAGAAGATGTTCCAAGTGACAGCACTGCAGTCCTGAGCCCTGAAGTAAGTAAAAGCACGTAGAATTTCTAAATGAATGATATTTGGAAGATGATAATCCTGTGCGTCTCTTCTCCTCTTGGTCAGGTTCTATCACTATCTTGTCCTTTGTGGCTTTTGATACCAGTTTCTATTACTGATCTAATCTTTATCCAGCAGACTTTTCAGGGCTGTCCCGACCACCCTTCAGCTCTGCTCTAAAGGAGGATGGGTAGCCAGAAATGAGAGCAATACGTGAGATACTGAAAGGTATCTCCTCTCAGGTTTTAACCTCAAGATAGGGTTTAAAAAATTGTTTTGAACATTTTATACAAAACACTCTGGAATTACTTCCCCGTTTCTTTCATCTTGAGGTTCCTGTTTAGGTTTGTGTTTATTTTTTAAATTATTTTATTTGGACATTTTTACTATTGAGAGGTGGCCCTTTTATGTTTTGCGAGTCTTTCAAAATAATGTTGTTACAGTTTCATACCATGGGAAACGGAAGGGATAAATGATGCTCAGCTTTACTAATGAAATTTTAATTCATGGCATCATGCATTTAGAAGTGGTTGGTTGGTTGTGTTTTGAATTGTTTCCTTCTCTGGAGCAAAAATGTGAAAACAACAATGAGAATAGATGTGTTAAACTTTTGACGTCTTTACATGTTGAAGGATTTGTTTTAATCTTTCTATGCTGATGAAAACTATAACGGTGCTTACGGTAGAGGTTTTCGTAAGGCTGTATTTACTTTTAATTTTCCTTTTCTCTGAATCACAAGTTTTTGCAACTTTTGTCTCAGGTAACATTTTGTAATACTGCAGTGTGTCAGTCTTACTAGGTGAATTTTTATCTACTGCTAAAATTAAATAATGAAAGAAGAGCTGTAAATAGAATTTCCTTAATGTTTTCCTTATATAGTTTCTAGGAACAGTCTTTGTCACTACTTTTCAGCTGTTTCTGATATTATTATATAGTATCTAACGTAGAAGAAGATTCTACATTGGTAGTTAAAGTTTAATATATCAGCATTTTGTGATTTTCCACAAAGAATATTTCTCTGTGACCTATACCTGAGGAAATTTGCGGTAACAATTTTGTATATTTGCAAATTGTATAGATAGCCAACAATTTAGCAGTGAAACCTGGATTGTGAAGTTAATAACAACAATAATAGCTGGCACCAGTTGCGCCAGGAATTTTGCTATAAGCTTTACACAGTCAGCTCATTTAATTCTAACAACCTCATCTTCAGGAAGTTGTTACTTCCATTTTACAAATGAGCATATTAAGACTCAGAATTTAACAATTTGCCCAAGTATAAGCAGCTCTTAAATGGTGGAACTGTAATTCAAACCTAGACCTACCTGACTGCAAAAATCCGTGTTCTTGACAACTATGTCCCTCGTGACCTGCATCATTGTGTGGGAAATTTCTACAACGCACTGGTACCCTCCAAGTACACCTCCAAGCAAGCTGTCCCAGAGGACTCACAGACCAAATTAAGATGCTCAGATTACATTTGTGTGTGTGTATGCATGCATGTGTGTGTTTTAAACTACTTCAAATATAAAGGAAGAAGTAAGGAGCAAAGTAAGGTAGGATAACACAGTTAGGATGCCAGTGGGTACAGGTGGCAGGACCACGCGTATGATCTTGATAGAGATAATGTCCGTATGTCCAGTCTCATTCTTTCTGTTCCATCAGCATTCCCTAATTATGGCATGGTAACAGGGTCAAAAGTTGAGATTTGAACAAGGATGCCAAGGGCCAAAAACACATACTTGTTTTATGAGAGAGGTGCAGGGACAAGTACTCCTGGCCACCAGTGAAACTTGTCAACTAACCCACTAAGTAGACATGGATTTTGTCTGCAGTTCTTAAAAAAGAACACACACGGGTGGCAGAGCTGTCAGCCCAGAGGTGGCATGATCATAGCTTGGGCTTTCCTTCCCCTTCCACAGGTGATAGTCATCTGTTCTGTCTTATTTTCTGTCTGCTCTATCTTTGGCCTATCTTACAAGTTACTAACTTAGTTATTACCTGTATTTACCACATCTTCTGAATTCTGCCTATGTCTCAAATTACTCCCTTACTTACTATCTGTAGCTAACGTAGCCTGTGAGTTTTGCCCAAATTTCAGAAGCTTTGTTAACTTGTTCTGAGTCTCCTCTAACCCATTTTTTGTGTGTCTTCTGTAGCAAAATTGAATATATTCAAACTACAGCAAATGCATGTCACATAAATATTTAGATGCTGATAGCCCGCATTAATAGAAAACTCACTCTGTAAGTTTTTTTAGGTTTGTTTCGCTTCTTACCATTCCTTTAATAGATACTATTGACCAAATAGAAAATGCTTATCTTCCTCTTGGTTTAATTCAGGATCAGGCTGTCTGAGAAGCCTGTCTCCATACACGATTGAACTGGGAGAGAGGGTTCAGAAGAAGTTCCTGGCAAAGAGCTCATAAGCTGTATTGATGAAGTGTTTGTTGCCAGCTAAAGGTCGTTCAGATTTTGATTGAGATCCCTTGAAAGGAAGGATTATTTTCTAATTGCCTATTTGTAGAAGATAAATATTAGCTTTTATCTATAAAGGTCCCACCCTTTTAACCCTCAGCTTCATGAGAATTGTCAATGCCGAGAAAAAAATTAGGAGGCACTAAGAGAAACAAAATCTGGAAATAGCTTTTCAATTGCCTTGAAAGTCTTAGCTGTCATGACACTATTTTAGGACATGTTTAATTGAAAAAACAAAGCCATGTAATTAATTATCTTCAATTACCAATTATGAAATGGCTTACATTAAAACTTTTTGCTCTTAACTGTAAATTTGGGTAAGAATATTTTTACCCCAGTCTAATCATATTGCATAAAAAACTGAATTCTGTGAGAGTTTTTCCTTCCCCTGAAATATTCTTAATGTGTCTTTTCTTCTGTACACGATGCCAATTGCGTCATCGTAGGTAGACATTAAGATTGATACGGTCAAAGACTTGTGTCTTTTTGGTTTTCTGCTACATCCTCCTACCTAAAATACAGCCTGGCACCTAGTAGGTTCACTAGCTAGGGTACGCGTTAAGCTGCTATAACAAGGAGACAAATACAATAGCTAAAAACCACAGAAGGTTGTGTTTCGTATAACAACAGTCCTGGGTGAGTAGGTGTTTTCCTCTGTGACATCATTCAGGGGCCCAGTTCCTTCTTTTAAGTCACTCTGCCATCCCCTAGGGTGTTGTCTTAATCCACATGGTCCAGGCTGACCCAACATCCTATCTGTGTATCTGCTTGTGGAAAGAGTGAGAGTGAGAGAGAAAGAGAGAGAGAGAGAGAGAGAGAGAAGTCCTTACATAGACCTGGTCTGGATTGTTTCATACAGAACTCTTGTTTCCCTCCAGTTGGGTAGGGTGGTAGTTTTATGGCCGTACCAGCCGTAAGTAAAGGTTTTGAAGTACAGTCCAGTCTCTTGCCAGACAATGTGT